GTTAGTTTTCCCAAAAACCACGGAACAGCATAATAAAACGGCCTCAAAACGTGGTTTTTACGTTCATTCCGTATATCTATAATAATATAATGTACATTACATACATAACATATTATATAGGTAGGTAGATGTACTGCTCTAATGTAGTAAAATAAAAATAAAATTCCACGCACGTGTGGTCTTAGCTACACCATAGGGCATTATAATATTGTATTGTAGCATAGTGATATAATATACATTAATATAATATACAGAGCATAACTAATAGCTGGATTTTTGGTTGCACAATATGTTATTCAAAATTACAGAGCTGTTTTAATGTTACTATAACGCCAATTAAAAAGTTTTCTTTTTTTAAATTTTTTATTACTTTATGTTATAAATTCATAAAACTTCCAACCAAGCTGAATTGATTTATTAAAAATARGTTCAACATAGAAACGCAATTATAATAAATCGTACATAATATAATAATATATTACTAGTTATGTACTGTCTTAAATATATACGACTTTAAAAATAGTGGACTAAAATATACATTTGTATTTTACACTTTTAAGTAAATAATATTCATAAATTATTTTATATATTAATCTCACTATGATCATCAATATATCATAATTTTAAAACACGTACCTAGGTAGTTGATTTCAAAGATAAAATAACATAACTACTCACTAAAATTTTGAAAATTTTACATGCATATTACTTACGTCACGTAACTTGAATTTTAATTAACTACACCCATGTAAAATAAAAATAATAATTAAATTGTCATATTTTTGAAATTTATATTGAACTAGGTACAATTTAATAAAAATAAATGTATTAATATGGAAACTATATTAAATATACACTATATTACTCTATTCTTCTATTAAGTAATGGATATTGATATTTTTGACACTTAAATCTTGTTAGGTACTTGCAATTATTATGATTAATTGTATTATATTTTGTGAATTTAACATTTCATGAATTCTTAGATTTTTTTTTATTTTCATATTTAGCTTAAAAATATATAAATAAAAAAAAATTGAATTTATGCATTTATATTTGATAACATTTACTTACAAATTATAACAGCACTTACTTTGTATTAAATTTTATTAAAAACCCATTTAAATTGCTTTTCTGCCAAAAAACCGTAAACTTCTTTGTGAAACTTACTTAATACCGTGAAAATCGTTATTAAAAAATTATAATATATTTAAACACAATAAATTCATACCAATTGTGCTTGAGAAATCGTAATGAATATTTCAATTCGTATGGATTYGACGTTTGTAACAAACGTCACGTCGTTGTGTCTCAATTATATATTTTTATAAAAAGGAAATCATTTATTTCTTCAGTTTTATTGAGGTGATAAATAAATTAAACTATAGTTATTATTTTTGGAATATAACAACAATTAATTAATTTTCTCCTCTTAAATAACGATTCGTCAACATAAAATAACACGATGTAAAAAAGCTAACCAACAATAATTTTACTGGCTTCAACAATAGCGAGAAAAACGAGSCGTTTATATTAGCAATCAGCATATTATAGAAATTTTAGATAGGTACAATTCCGTCCCCTTCCACAACCACTCGATCACATTTTTACCRTTTGATAATATTGCTGGTTTCAGCTCATTTCAGAAGTTTGTAGATCCTTTCACACAATTTCTATATTTAACGTTAATATTATAAAACTAATGCTTTAGCTTTTCTCATAAATATATTTTTTAAACCAGTATTATAGACGYTTTCGAGGTATGCGGAGAGTGCAGTATAAGGTGTAGTGTAGATTTACTGACAAATACTATTATAATAAGCTCTACTCTAACGTGGCAGTAAATTGTATTCTTGTAATAACATGAAAACAGTGGCAAGAGCCAAGAAGGGGTATATAGTTCAGTGCTTATGCKCCTGTTGTTCATGTTATTTTATATGCGAGTATAGTGCACGCAAAGACCAACTTTAACTCTGCAGTGTAGGTACGGTCACTGCCACCTGTAAATAATTTAATTTTTGTTATACAACTATACGAACTAAAAATGAATTACTTCATGAAAACAATTGTTACGTGTCTATACATATTATATATTTATATATATGATACGAGTATTTTATCGGAAATATTTCTGGTAAATGGAGTTTTTTTGTTAATCGAACAATATAAATACAATGTTATTATTATTATTATTATTATTATTATTACCTAGGTATATAGTTTGTTTAGTAACAATTAAAAAATTGATTTTTCGTTAGTAACAAACTATGTATTAATAATAATTATTATAAAAATAATTTTAAAAAGTCACTTATTTCTAATTAAGTTATCCGGTTTTACGATAAAAGAATCAGTTCGTTTATATTTCAAACATACAAACTTTACTGACATTTTAAATTTTAAACTTTAAAATTTTTTTTTTCTGTAAATTTCGATAAAAATTTATTTGTTGGGTAGTAAAGCTTGAAAATTTAATTTAAGTCACCTAACACATTGTTACAATGTCAGTTGAAAAATATTAAAAATACATAGGCACGATTTTTCTTTTTAAAAGCATTTAAAGTTCAAATTTTGACTAAATACGTAAAAATTACGGCAATGTTCAAATTATCTTAGATAGAAGTTCATACATTTTTTTCTTTTTAAATCTAAGATTTGAAAATTTTTAATAATCTATAATATATCCTAGATAGATAAACCGTCTACGCTCAGAATCGTTTTTCGTATACARTGATATAATATCATTGGATTCAAATTTAATTCCTTCCATCACAGTAACCCACTTGTATCCTAAAACTGTACAGCAGAGCGATATCCACGACTTACTCGATTTTTTTTAATGCTATTAAATGTCTGTACTCAGTATGCACAATTTATAATTGATAAAATGCTTCGATCTTACTTTATTTTGAGGGTAATTTCCAAAAAATGTATGTCTAGTTTCCTTTCAAGAATACAATATTGAAATTTACACCATTTTTAAAGTAATGGAGAAATAAAAAAACATATTAAATAAAAAGATTAAAACTTTTATGGAAAATACATTTTTGGCGAAATCGATAATAGTTTATCTTATTATTATTTGCTATTTTGAATTAATATGTAAGAAATAAAATAGTATACATATATGTGAATAAATATTTTTTAACGTTTATCTAAGTGGATGTTGAAATTTAAATCAAAGACGTAGATACTATTGACGACTTTGATTGTGATTCTATTAAAATTAAGTTGATGAGATCCAATAATGTAAGTAGATTTCAATATGTCACTATAATAATCAGTTGCACAAATATTTTAATGCAGTTGAGGAGCTAATTGGTCCCAACATTTTAAAAAATACCTGAAAAATATCCGATTATAAAACATATATTGTATAGGTATAATATTATATATTATTATTGACTATATCCCAATTRATAAGTTTATTAATATATGTGCAACTGCTTACAAGTTACAACTAAAATATTTTAACCACAGGACAGGTGATGTTGTCAAAATCACTGTAATATTATGTAGTACCTAGAGAAAATTATGAAATTTTCCACTATCAAGATGGTGTGGATGGCAAGCAGCATTTTGAATGTTTACACCCTTTATCGTTAAAAATATCAYGTACGCCTGTATACAYGAAGTTATGTGCAGTGTAGGTATGTGAGAGGTGAGAGTCATTATCGAGCATGGTAAAGATATACATCCCTTTCCCCCTTTCCGTTATTTACTTTGTGACGCTCGTGGGTATGAGTTTATTTGTATAAAAAAAAATTACTGACTGGATCTTAGCCAATGGATACGATGATGGTTGATTATGTGGCTGGAACAAAGAAAAAATATAAAAACATAAACTACTTTTAAAAACCTCTTTTGTCGTCGGAAATGTTGTTTGCATAAGCGAAACGAAACGTTTTCATCAATGACAACCATTATAATTAGAATGAAGATTTTTCGAACGCAGAACGAAAACCTGCACCGTATTATAATAATAATCAGGAGAACAGTGTAGTATATATCGAGCATTCATAGTTGACAAGCGAAATGGAGGGAAATGCATGGAAGGCTAAATGGGAGTCTTTAAACGATGTGGCAGCATTTTTCACGTGTGGTAGTGGCCTTTCGTCTGGTAATGATGTAACACGCGTTTGGATATTGTGCACACGTCTCATTCGCTCCGTTGATAATAAGCCGATCTTTTCTTTTTCATTAAACATCTAATTCGTGCCAAATGAATAAAGGGTTCGGGAGCTATAGTATTTAATCAACTATTTCAAAAGAGTCGTAATAACGAGCCCATTTAATCCTTTCAACGATGACTTTCAGTAATAATCTGAAACGAAAATGTGATATACCGAATAGGAATTTAATAGTAGAAAATAATCCAGTTTCTCTCGAACAATACCGAGTAAAATCGATTCATTCAATATTGACGTATACAATAATTGTAGTGGCTGCATAGTCACTGGTGTGCAGGATGGTTATTGAAACCTCCGTTCTTTGTATTTTATGTCATCAGTAACCATTCGAATAATCACATACGCAGCGTGCTTCGACACATAGTCGTTTCTTTTTATAACCAAACTGTGCTCGAGAATAGTCGTTCAAGACAGTCGTGGAATGAAATCACTTCGGGGATATTTCTTATAGGTCTTATGTTCATGTTTTTTTTTTTTTTTTTTTTTTGTAAAGAAGACCTATAAAATATTTTTGTGACGTAAAACTACATAAAAATACTTAAACATAATATAAAAATGAAACTCAATGATAATATTAAATGTATATAAAGTATTAACGTAATAATAAGTTGAATTTGTGATAGTAGACGTCAACGGTAAATAATAAAAACGAGCAGCATGGAAGGCAAATATATTGATCATCATTCTGATAAGAAGGTTTTTTTTAAGGTTGATAAAATAATATGGTCATTTCTAAATAACAATTTTGTAGTGATCTTTGTTTTTTTTTAAAAATATATTATGTTCACTCAATTTCGTCTGGTGTTTCAGAATGGGGTGGGCGATTGGCGTGTGGATGATACAATCCACGTTTGAGGTGCATTTTGGTTCAACTGCAGACATGAGGACGCCATGTTAAGGTTTGTCAGGCGTTGTGGTACAACCGCGATAATCGGAGCTCGACTGAGGGTGACGATAAACGGTGGCTGCAGTGGTTTCGTTCTGTTCAGGTTAACATGGTAGGTGGTCACCAGCCGCAGTCGACGGGAGGCGCCAACTGTACGGGCACTATGATGAACATACTGAACATAGACGCCGAGAACCGGGTGGTGCTGAACGTCGGCGGCATCAGGCACGAGACCTACAAGGCCACATTGAAGAAAATACCGGCCACGAGATTGAGCCGGCTGACMGAAGCGTTGGCCAATTACGACCCTGTGCTAAACGAATACTTCTTTGACAGACATCCTGGTGTGTTTGCTCAGGTCCTCAACTATTACAGGTGAGTGCTATACAAAACTATACTTTAATAATAATAATAACAATGGGGCCTTTATTCCACGAMAAATCATGTGGTAATGTTGTAAAGCTTTGTGCTATTTAGTGTATCGCTATAATAAACCTACGTGGTACTATTTTAATGAATAAAATAAATCTTGTAAAAATAATTTAATGTATATAAAAATGTATTATTATAATATGGATTTAGACYCAATAATAGTGGGGGAGTTAATGGAAATAAATTGATTTGTTTAAGYTAAAATCAAAATATTTATATTCAAATGATCAGAAAATAGTTCACGAATTATTTTATTTTTTTAACTCTATAAACTTAAAGTTAATATGGAGAATCATAATTACTTTGCTTAATTTATTAAAAAAAAATAATTCATTTTTCTTTTCATAATCACACTTGATATGTATATAAATTTACATAATACCTATGGTTCGTAAAATTTACTACATTTTTACATAATAAATAAATTTTTTCTTAATACTCATTTTACTATCAACTCTTGATTTTTTGAATAATTGTACTCGATGTGGTTTCTACTTTTTGAAAAAATATAAAAACATAACTTATTTTGTTAATAACTGYACTTATACAAATTATAACCGTGGATACATTTTTCCTGAGGTAAGTATATTTTTTTACTAACTGACAAAAGTTAAGTAATTCACATTGCTACTTAAAAGTTGATAGTGGTTTCACCAATAAATTTAAGACTGAAAAAAATAAAAATATTTTATGGTTTTAGAAAAACCTAAACCCAAAAATTTAAAATAGATAATACTTTTCAAGATGATTAGTGTACCCATGATATWCACGATTTCTTTTTTAAGCTATAGATCAATATAGTATATATAATTACTCGAAGATAMCATTATTTTATTGAAGATTTAATTATTTATGAACATTAGATATATGAARTTTATATTTAAAAGTATACTTTTGAGGATTGAGTGTATGTTATTACAATATATAATCAGCCTAAACCAGAGCATAGTGATTCCGTTCGCAGCATTAACTCCTAATCGGATTTAAAAGTATGAACAAACAACAATAACAACGGTGAATAATGTAAAATTCAGAAAGTATAGAAATTCACAATAAAAATACAATTAAATTACACATATTATATGCTTGTGTGTTTTGCACCGTGCTTATGAACCCGAATATCGATTTGTGTGATTTGTTGGCTTAATGCAATTAACCACCACAATAATATTTTAATGTCACGGTTATCAACAAGTGTGTTTAGGAACAGCAGTAAGTTATAATTTAGTTACTAGTAGTCTTTGGCCAAATTAAAAATATCGTGATTATGTCACGTGTGTACCTTGTACTTAATTGTATAAAACGTAATACTATAAACGTCACTATCATTTTTTTTTTTTAATTAATGATACTTTTTTCAAAAAATTTAAATTGTAAAAAAAAATCATAAAAAATATTCATAAGTAAGTGAAATTTATAAATTTACAAATTTACAAATCTAAAATGATTATAATATATACAACATTTTTAATTTTTATCGAAAATGTTTGTCTACAAGTCTTATTGATTTATCATATATTGTATTATATATTATTTCTCACGTAAATTTTATTTATTTTTTTATAAGATAGAAAGGTTTCAACAACACAGGGTTTTAGCCTACTTACATTTAATTAACATAATATAAGCGAAAGGCGTTAATATACATTAGATTTTAGTATAAATATTGATACATTATTTTCAGTGAACTGGGTAGGCTTATATAGTATAACAACGGTTATCTTTGAAGGCTTAGTGGAATGAGAGAAGATTTTTGAGTGTCTTGTGAGCTTCAATGTATTGAGGGGCAGATTATAACAATGTATTCTATTATCAGAGTTACGTTAAAAGTATCTACTGCTTATTGGTAAAGTTCCTTGCTGATTAGRTAGGTGTGTGTTAAGTTGGGAGTGGCCTATTTAAGCTCTTGTGAATGTCACATCTTCTCTTCTTTTTGAGCCAGGAGGACAATTAGATTTATATATTATAATTTACGTTTCTTAATTTTTTGACAGAGATATARTTTGTCTTATATGTATATTATGTAGTTGCATTTTCAGAAGTTTGTATTATTATTTTTTCCTGGGATTGAGCTGTCGGAATATTTTTTTATGCTCATCCGTCTTCCATAAAACTCTCACAACTCACTAAATGCCTACTTTATGTCAATCATTGGTATTGTAACATGGTTTCATTTAAATTTTCTAGCTGCAGTCATAATAATAATATTAAAATTATTCTTCAACGTTCATAAAAAAAAAAAAAAAAAATATTGTATCCACATAAAAACTAACGAGTAAGTTTTAATTGATTGTTTGTTCCTTCACAGTTACTTACACAAACATCAGATCCACCCATCCAAAATAGTCCCAACACAAATAAAGTTAAGTTTTTAACTTCATTCTATCATATCATTCTCCCTTAATTTTTTTGGTAAATTTATTATGTAACTATACTATAAAAAAATATTGTATTTAACATAGAAGCACAACGCTTTATCTCTTACTCCTTCTACTGCCGGTAYATCTAGCGGTGGCGTGATGTGGCGTCGTTATTTTCCGTTTTTATCTTGTTACAACACTGCTGTAGCTTGTGTAAAACATTAATAATGATAGCAATAAAATACTGGCAGTATTCTCGCAAAATAAATGATTTTATATAGTATTGTACACCTTGGAGTTTCAGAAATATTGAAAAATATGAGTGATTGTTTTAAAACATATTTTTTTAATGAACTATTTTATAACTATTATCGTCATAGTGCTTGAACTCCACTGTATTTGTGCTTGATAGATTATTTATGACCTAATTTTATAATTTATTAACGGATACAATATAAAAAGTATTTAGAGCTCATTTTCAAATAATCAAAGTTTTTAATATTTGAATGACATATTTTCTGTTTTTAATGTTCAATAATACGTTATTGATGCTTAGTAAAATTGTTAATATAGTAGTAATATTAAAAACTGTGTGTTTTAAAAATACAGACATTTTAGTGATGTGCATTCATTTTAAGTAGGTAGGTACTTACATTTTTAAACCATGTCACATCTAGTATACTGACTTTGATCTTATAATTAAAAAGAAAAAAAAAATTAAATGCTTGTATTTGCTATGATTTTGTTCGTTTAACGATAAAATAATCATAATATATGCACGTAAAAATATTAATGGCTGAATCCCTCTCCGCTGCATCAGAAGTAAAAACTCCCGAGASAACAGCAGTAAAGAATGATATCGTGGTATATCAATTTATCGTAAGGGTAAAACGCATACAAAGAGGAATATTTTTATGTCTACGTGTAAAAATGGAGATCTTATATTATTATTTTTTATTTCATTTCCGTACCATTTAGTAGATATGTATGTTATTAGCGACATTATGGTTAGATTACGTGGTTGCTGAGGTTATCATGCATTGAATATTATTATTATTTTCGTTAACCAAATTCGTAGTAGGTATAACGCAGATTTTCACGATAAAAGCCAACGCCAGCGTGAAAATTGACGATAAATCGACAAGATATTACTGCGTAGTTTCTGAACCTATGTATGTAATCATTTTTTTTCCTTGTTGGGAACTGACGACTGCTGCTGTCTACGCCGTACGCAATATTGATCCACTGTCTTTACGCTTTTTAAAGAATCTGAGCTTAACTTATGAACGTGTAAATGAACGTTGAACCAATTTAATAAYTGTGATTAATTTTATTCTAGAAAAAATATACAGTGAACAGTTTTACAAAATAGACATTTGTATGTTTCGATACGTTACTATAAGACTTTTAATGTTTGAATGTATAGACCTAAACAAGGAATGCTTTCGTAGATAGTTTAAGAACATATTTAATTTTTAGTTAAAAATAAATTCAAGTAAACAAAACTTTCTCGAATATTGAATGTTGTCCAAATGTCTGTCTAATCTATATTATTTCAGAAAAAAAAAGTTTTATTATTTATTTATTGGTCAATGTCTACCAACTTAATTAATAACTCAATACATTTTATTGGTGTTGTATGACATAGTAGCAACCATGGGTTCTATTAAAATCGTTATACTTTTTTTTTTTTGCTGACTTCATCGTAAAATATCACTTTTCAACAATAACTAACATAGAATAGATAATAATTAGAATTGATAAATTACAGATTTTGAAAATTATATCAATATTTTTCAGTCATGATGGAGCTGAAAAATCAGTTTTCATTTTTTATTAAATATTATTTCCAATAATAATTACAACAAATATTGCTTTATTTTATTTTATTCAACACAATTTTTCATTTTTATTTTTTATTTGGTAAATTTATTTCGCTAACATAACAAATGTTTTAACAAAACTCTTACCATAAATTTAACAAAAATAATCATAAATAAACAAAGACCTATATTTCTATAATAATATATTTGTATGTTGTCTAGTTGATCTTTTAGAGAAATGTCTTATGATGGGCGTGGTTTTATAGCTTAGGTTTAGATGTTTTTACGTCGATAATTTAATGGAAACCTCTTTGGATTTTATTTRGGATAATGTCTACGTTTTTCGGCTAATTATCTATGTTGATAGAGAAGTCTCGTAACATTAAGTTATTGTTTATTTCACATATAATAAGGGGCTTTGATTGCTATTTATAGGAATTTATTGATTTTGGAGAAATTGCAMTGTTTTCRTTTGGAATGCAGCACCCCGTGAACTGAGCATCCATAAGATAATAACGTTCTTATTATTACCATGTATAAAGTAGAAGACATGATTTCATCTGCATGGTTGAAGTTTAGTTAAATAGGGTGTACCTATAGGATTTCATCTTTATGTATTCTTGCCTCTTGGTTTAGATTTTTATTGATGTCGTCATAATTTAAATATACATATACATAATGGTCCGTTATGTTTCAACTTAATATCTTTATTGCTTTATATATTATTGATCTTTGTGACTTTATTATATATACCATATTA